TATAACTTTCTTCTTGATATTATCCCTTTTAAGATCAATTACTCAGGAATAAATATTGCAAAAGAAATAATAAGAGTTTTAGAAAAATTTAATATTACAGAAAAAATTATCACACTTATAACAAATAATGTATCTGCAATACTAGTTTGTAGAAAAAAGATCACCTCAAATCTTGATAATAAATTTTTATTACTTATTTTTTCACATTATCATTGCGCAGCACATATCTTAAACTTAGCAATACAACAAGGATTAAAATTATCCGATAATATTATTAATAAGATATATACTTTAATGAGCAAACTTAAAAATTTTACTTGTCTTTGTGATGATCTTTGTCTCCTATATGAAGTTAAAAAAATTAATTATCTCAAGCCTATTTTGAACATTGAAACATATTGAAACTTAACAAATTATATGTTGAAACGCTTTGAAACATTTCAATTAGCTTTAATTTTATTGATAGCAGATCATCAATTCTTTGGTCTTTCTTTTAATGATAATAAATGGATTATAATTAAGGTAAAAAATTTTATAATTTTTTAATGTCAACACAAGCCAAACTTGTCTTAAGATAATATATATGTATATTTTATAGGACATCCTTTTACTCCTTGAACCTATAGAAAAAGCTACTAAGCATTTGTCAATATCATCTTATCCAACTATAGGTAATACACAATTCATTTTTGTTAACATTTAAGAATACCTAATAACATATACAAAAAAAAAATTTTTTTCATAATGTGAGATGGCAAGCTTGATGTTTCAAAAAATTACAAGTTATTGAAATATAATGAACAAATATTTAATTACCTTAGCTATTTTAGATTCTCGAAATAAGCTTTCAATTTTCTCATATGAACTTAAATTAGATGCTTGGGCACATATTCTATCTATTTATAAGATATACAAAAAACATTTACCAAATCAAGAATCACAAACACTTTCATTTATCTTTTTTGATACATGACAATATTTTACGAAACTGTGACAAAAAAATTTCACAAGTATTATAAATACTACAACCTTAACTTTAGAATCAAAACTTAATTATTATCTTGAGTTATTTGTTGATGAAAATACAGAATCTCTTTTATAGTGGCAAGTTCATACTAAGGAATATTCAATTTTAAGTAATATGGCATAAAATTATCTTACTATTCAAGTGACAAGTATTGCATTAGAACAGGTTAGTAATATTTAAATTAAATTAATTAATTGCATATACAAAAAAAAATAAACATTTTCAATTGCAGAAAATACTATTACTAAAAATTGAAATTGTTTATTACTGGAAATAGCAAGAGCTTGTTTATGTATAAAAAGTTTGAAACAAATGAATTGATAAAATAATATTTTTTTTTAATTATTTTTTATTAAATTAACTCAAATATATAACTTAAAAATCAAATACAAAATATTTTTATTAATAAAATTATATATTTATATTTATAATTAACATATGTTGAACTTGGCTCTTGTTTTATTTAATTTTATTAATAAATCATATGATTTATATTATCTAATATAGGTCGAATTTGGCATTTGTTCTATTTTCTAATCTCACTAATAAAAGCATCCTACTAATAAAAGCATTTCACTAATAAAAGCATTTCACTTATCATTATAAAAATTTTCTAATCATATTATGGTTACATTGTCAAGTATATCTAAAAGAATTCAATTTTTATTAAGAGTTTGTAATAATTTCATCAGGTGAGAACCTGTCACAATGAAAGTATATAATTTTTATGTAAAAATATTTCTTGAAAAACCTGGAATATCTATCTTTAAATCTTGATCTTTAATTTCTTTTTTTCTTTTTTTTTGTCCTTTCTCTAACATAAATTGAATTTGAAATAAATCTGATTCTGTATTACTGACTTTAAAAAAATTTTGAGACTTTTTTTTGTCCATGAGAAGAATCTGGACTTGAGAAGATATCTTTATACCTTTATCATATGGAGCATATTCAGAAACCTATTCCTTTAAATAATTATACGCTTGTTCAAATTCATATAAAAATCTTAAGGACATTCTTCTTGATACTTCAGTTAAGGATCCTAATGATTCTCTTCGATTCTGTATTCGATTCTCAAGTTTATATTAAATTTAATAGGTGGGGTATACCCCACCATCATTTTTAATAGTGTTCTGAACCTCATGCGATTCTGTTCGATTCTATTCAATTCCAATTTTTGGAACCATAACTTCAGTATAATAGACAGATGTATTGACTTTATGAATTGATTTATAACATCTGCTTATTAATGTTAAAATATTGTTAATCTTTGTTTGGTAGCTTTGGATACTTCTAAATTAATTCTTGCAAACTTGCTTACATTAAGATCTTTAGAGATTTGAGGTTGCCATTTTAAAAGAACCAATTAATCTTTAAGATCCAATCTCGTGATATTTGGTAAATTTAAAAAAAAAGATTCTTTAGGATCATTATCAGTATCTTTATCTTAATCTTAAGAATTAAAATTTAATAAAGCACCTCTTATTTCAGCAAAATTAAATTTTACATCACCTGATTTATGAGTGATTACAATATTTTTCAAATATTTAATCAGGTTTTTATAATATTCTATCTTCTTAATTCCAGTATTTATATTATAAAAAGAAGTCATCTCTCCTAATTCATCTTTATATAATAATAACTCCCAATATAAGCAAGCAACCCTTAATTTATTTTTCTTTAATATATCCATCTCTCTTTCTTCAAAATCAGCAAAATATCTGAGTAATGGAAATGGATCCCCAGCTTCATAATCATCATATATTACCTTCTTAAATTTTGGAAACACAATATTATTAACTGAATTTTTTATAACCACCAGATTAATAGGTTCAAATGTAATGCTACCTTTCTTATTTTTTAAGATAGCCAATTTTTTATTTGGTTTTATTTCAATACTATTCAACTCAATATGCTAAGCCATTGAAGAAAGAATCAAACTTTGATTAATTATATTATTATTGATATCTTCAACCATGCTCATGAATTTTTGTGAATCGTGAGAAGTAGAAGTAAGTAGTGAAGAAAGCATTGATAAAATAGTTTTTGAAGTAGAAGGTATTAATGAAATGACTTTTGATATAAAAGGTATTGATGAAACAGCTTTTGAAGTAGATCCAAGTTTAATTTCTAAATGAATAATTAAATAAATTAAATGTATGCATTATAAAAATAACTTATTAATTTAACAACTTTATTTTTTTCAATTCAATTTTCTTCTTCCATCTCATTATCTTCAACATTTTCAACATTTTCATTATCATTATCATTTTTATCTACTTTTTTTCTTTTTCTTTTTCCTTTACCTAATTTAATAATAAATATTAATAAAATAGTATAAGTCAAGATTGTCTTATGTTAAATTATATATAAATTTCTTTTCTTGCCCATATTGATAGATTCCATGAATTCAAACATCTGAATTAATTGCATTAATTTGGTTGCATGTGTTTTTATTAAAAAATATATTAATATATTATATTATTATTTATATAAAATATTTTGGATACTTACGTAAAAAAACATATAATTCATCATATGTCACTTTGCAAATTTCATTTTTATTAAAGGTTTTATTCTTATTTTCTATCTCAAGCATAATGTCCAATACATTTGATATCTTGATTCTATTATTGGAATCAGAATTTACAAACAAAAATTGTTTAATGACTTTATTAATGAATTCGATTTCGACACCATCTTCTATAAATCTAATTTGATGAACTGATCGTTTAGAGTTATAAAGTGAGATAAGATACAAAAAACACATGAAACTGCTATTAATATTATATGCTTAAAAAAAAATTATTAAATAAATAAATTAATTAATAATTAATACAAGCTGAATTTAGCCTGTATTAATCAATAAAAAAAAAAAAAACTAGTTACTTATAATGAAATAAGGGAAAGAGCAAAAAATGAGAAAGAGTGAAGAGAAACCAGAAAAGTAAGTGAAATATAAATAGAAAACTATTACATCATGAATGCATCATTAACATGTAATAATTTATCAATTATATAATGATTTAATTTAATCTCCTCTACTTATGACATTATTATAGAATAATTTTAATTTAATCCTATCTAATGTTTATATGAAACATACGTAATTTAATTTATTAAAGCCAGTTTATTAAATGACTCTATGGAATATTACTTGGTTTCAACTCCACTCTTAGTGGTTCTGTAAAATGCTGCTTGGTTCTGACTCCACTGTTAGAGCAACATTCCATAGAACCAGAATGAAACTGATGAAGTTGCTCCCATCACTAATTATATTTAGTATATATAATATTGTTTTAAAATTTTTTCAATATTAACATAATATAAAGGTATAGACAAGCTAGCATTTAACTTGTTATATACTTTGTATCCAACAAATGTTATTTTTTTCACAATGTATATCTACCAGAAAAAAAACAAAACAAAGTTGTTAATAAAAAGTATGCTCAACATATTGATGCTGTTAAAAATTCTAAAGACTATTCTACTAGGATAAATATTTAAAATTTTATAAAAAAAAAGGTTTCATTTATTTAATTTAATAATTTATGCTAGGGAAGTGTATGTAACTATATGTTCAATATGTGATATCTACATAAAAGTGCGGATTCAGATAAACAGAGATAAAACGCCGTGATCTTTTAGATACTACTTACCAAATCGTGCATTATTCATTATTACGTGTTTTGTTAAACATGATGTAATACTCGCTGCGCCATTTCCATTACTGCGTGTTATAAATATGTAAATGATCTACGCCACAACAATCGCGAAACTCTAAAATTGAAGACAACTACAATAAACTTTAAAGTTTTCCTTTTTACAAAGAATAAATTAGACTATCATTCAACGCGTCTCTCCTTGAATTTTTAAACATTTTTCGCGTACGATCATGTTTCTGTTATCAGAATTTCTTGTTAATTTTGATGTTATGGTGCACGGTTTCTTTACCGTTTTACCTTCTTCCACCGTAATGCACGCTATCGGTCCTGTCACCATTTTGTTGCTCATGTTTGCAGCTTTTCTTCTACCCAAAGAACACGTGTGCGGCCGGACTGCGGAATATGCGCTGCCAAGTATTGAACTGTGGAATGTCCTCGTTGAATTTGGAGCATATCCACGGTGGAGATCAAACGTTACAAAAGTTGAAATTAACAGACCGGGACATATACCGGTTAGAACTATTATTACTTAGAAATTTAATATTTCAAACAAATAATACAATAATTTCTTATAAATAACATAGCCAGATGGGTTTGAATGGTTCAGAGAATTTACCCCACGCGGAAACATCAAATATCGCATAGTAGAGCGTTGCGAAGGTAAGTTACTGAAGAGAGAGGTATGTGTCTATTCACTTTCAAATATTGCATTATAATGCAATAACCTAATTGAATAATACTTAAATAGATTGTCCGCGAGAAGGGTATGTACATTAGCGGCTCTTGGACCATCCAACTCGAACAAGTAAGCAAGGATATTACCCGGATAACCATTATCGAACATGCTATTGTTCACAAGACCATAATCAAAATAATTGGATTGTTCACGGGATTCAATGAAAACATCGACATGTTCTTGACAGATTTGGGGAGGAAGATTGGTCAAAATGTATTAATTACGAATGGAAAGGCATAAAGGAGTTCATTGATTTAGACGAATTAGTTCTTGTTCTATGTCAATTCGCATTATCTCTAAAATTTGTCACGTGACATACATAGGTGCTGTAAATAAAGTATGGGAATTTATGTACTGTCTGCGTAATATTTATGCACTCTACGTTTAATTGCAATAGCAATCTGTATTCGAATATGGCATATAACAACTTTTTAAAAAACAATAATATAATCAAAATATTTTACTATTATTATTTTAAAATTATTATTTTATTTATTTATTTTTTAACTTGCAATTATTGAGTCATATGAGAAATAAATATATACGTATGTAATTTTATTATTTATAATTTATAAAAGTAATAAAATTAAGACTTATTTGATTCTTAAAGTTATACTTACAAATTATTTTATTATTAATTTTTTAACAATACTGCTAAAACTTACTTTATTGATTTAATTAACAAATACTGTACATGTACTCAATATTACAAAATAATTTTGTATCCCTATATTTTCTTTTTTTTTTTTTTCTGGTAGGTAAACATCATTTCTTTATTTTTATGGTATTGATAGATACACTAGTAAAAGAAACAATATCTCTTGGGTGCAAAGCATATAACAAATTAAATGCTAGTCTGTTTACACATCTATATCTAGCTAATATCGAAAAGAAATTTTAAACAATATTATATATGCTAAATATAGCTGAGTAGCAGCTATGCTTACTTACTCAGAATTTTTAATTAGATGTAAATAAAATGAGAAGTAAAAGAAAATTAAAAAAAAAAATTTTATATTTAATACTATACAAATGAGAAATGTAATAAAACTAGTTATATAATTAAAAATGCCTATTTGACATACTATTCTGGTAGTTCCATTCTGTTTGAGTATATTGAAAAATATACTATTTCAATTGATCAGGTTATTGTTTAAAGTATATAGTAGTAATGATGATATGTCTTCTTGATAACTGCTAGTACATGATGATAGTGATT